CCCAGGGTGAACTTGTAGGTCCTAAGCACAGGGCCAGGGTTAAGGCGCCTGGCGCCGCATAAAATATTCCCTAAGATCTGCCGCTTTGGATTTCGCACCCCACATGGCCTCAGTGATCGGGACCATCAGCACCAGCATTTCTCTGACACGTCGGCCTCTGGGATGCAAACCTCCACTTGTGGGGCACTTTTACCTAGTAGGTTTACCAGCTTCCGGAGATCCTTCGACAGATTTTTGGATCCTGGAGGCCGTCTCGGTAGGTGCTGAGATATTGCCTCTTGATTTTGTGCCCAGGTTCTCCCCTTGAACAATTCCCCTTGAACAACAAAATTCCATAAGTTCACCTGCTGCTCCAAACGGAACTACTCTACGGCATCCCCCTAAAGCAGTGCTCAATTTTGCACTGCTTAATGCCACGTACAAATTCCTGAACACCTCTAACCTAAACATGACTACAGATTGCTGGTTATGCCTAGATCTGAGACCCCCTTTCTATATAGGCATAGATACTGAAGGAGCATGTCCTCTCAGGATCACTTAGACAAGTGCACCTGGCATCACCCCAGATTGACCCTTGGGGATGTGCAGGGAGCAGGACTATTTTTGATTGCTGTAGGGCGAAAGACACCCTCTTTGTACCAAAAAAAAATGTAACCGAACATTAAGAGTTAATGTTACGAGAACCAGGTATTATGAGGCCCTGACAGGGGTGTGGTGGGCCTGTATGAGCAGGTGGGCTGACTGACTGTGTAAACACCCAGCAACTTGAATCCTCGGGCACAGGGCCTGATTTCTGTGTATTAGTGTATGTTCTACTCCAAGTGTATTTGTATGGCGGGGATAACGGAAGAGCCCACCTGAGCTACATTGAACATCATCATGGGAGAGAGAGAAGAGCTGCCCCTATATTAATTCCATTACTGGTTGGGGCAGGAATAGCTGGCTCCACCACGGTCGGGGCTTCGGCGTTAATCACTCAAAAACAGGGATTGCAGGACTTAAGCTCATGAGTAGCCCAAGATATGGAAGAGACAGTGGGAAGACTGGAAAATCAAGTGGACTCTTTAGCTGAAGTAGTCCTCCAAAATAGAAGGGGACTAGACCTTCTCTTTATGAAGCAAGTAGGCCTATGTATAGCTCTTGGAGAAATGTGCTGCTTTTATGCAAACCAGTCAGGAGTCATTAGGGAAACATTAGCCATGGTGCGCAGATATCTAAAAGAAAGATATTACCATGGAACACAGGAAAAGAATCTGTTCCAGTCGTGGTATAACGGCCTTTTTGAAGGTACAGAGTGCTCCCTCAGCAGGTTTGCTGATGATACCAAACTGGGAGGAGTAGCCGATACCCCAGAGGGCTGCGCTGCCATCCAGAGGGACCTGGACAGACTGGACAACTGGGCGGTGAAAAACCTCATGCAATTCAACAAGGCCAAGTGCAAGGTCCTGCACCTGGGGAGGAATAACCCCAGACACCAGTACAGGCTGGGGACCGACCTTCTGGAGAGCAGCTCTGCAGAGAAAGACCTGCGTGTCATGGTGGATGATAAGTTGACCATGAGGCAGCAGTGTGCCCTCGTGGCCAAGAAGGCCAATGGAATCCTGGGCTGCATTAAGAAGAGCATCTCTAGCAGGTCGAGGGAGGTGATCCTGCCCCTCTACTCAGCCCTGGTGAGGCCACATCTGGAGTACTGTGTCCAGTTCTGGGCGCCACAGGACAAGAGGGATGTGGAGCTGCTGGAAAGTGGATGCAGTCCTGTGCCATGTGCTCTAGGTGACTCTGCGTGTGCAGGGGGGTTGGACTAGATGACCTCTAGAGGTCCCTTCCAACCTTAAGCATTCTATTAACTTCTCCCAAGACGGCGCAGATCTCAGGCAAACTCTAAGAAGAGATCCGCCGCCAGTCGGCTAATAAAAGCTTGCTTTTCAACCCACCAGGTTGAGTGTGCGGGTGATTATTTAGATTATGGACTAACAGTAGCAGCCTCCAGCCTCACCCTCAAAGGAGGTGATTACTGCTGCATTTTATATCAACCAAGAGCTTTCTGAACTTGTGCTGTTTAAATAAACGGTGCCCCCACCTCCTCCTCCCTTCCAGCAGCCTCCCTGTAACTCCACTGCAGCAGCACAACTTTGTGTAAGGCCAGAGGGCAAAAATGCAGCAAAGTCTATACCAGGTTAAAGATAAACCTGGAGCCAGGCCCCCTGCCCTTGTTGCCTGCAGGGCTGCATGAAAGACTTTATCAGCACAAGACAGGGACAGGATGGATGTAGGTGTAAATGAAGATAAGGCACCCTTGTCTCCCACTTGTCTATCAGGCACACCCTGGCAGCAAGGCAGGATATTGCATGGATCACCTCCCAGCTGTATCTCCCAGCAAAAAGCAAAGGCACAGAGGGATAAGCACACATTATACAGATTTTTTTTGTTTGCCTATGCCTTTTAAAATCATTTTACAACTGTGTTTTTCAGATATTACAAATAAATATATTTAAACTGCATTCCTTGTGCACCCTGCCCACCTTGCAAGATGGCTGAAGACGCCTGGAAGATGCCTGCTTGAAGAATAAGCCAAGAGGTGTATGGTACATCTGAACCCCAGGACATGGGAAGACCTCAGTGAGTGCCAGCTCCCCATACACTCTCTAGAGTATCAGCATGTGCACAGGCCAGTATTACAAAAACAGAAACATCTTCAAGAGACGATGAAAACCAGGAGAACTCTGCCTGCATCTAAGGCAAAGCAGAGCACCTCTGAAGCAGGGGGTCTGACAGAGTGCACTTGATGTCAACTCTTGCAAATACAATAACCTTCCACTTACTTACAGCACATATCAGCACAGCCAGAGCAATGACCTGCTGAAGGCTTTGACTGTCGCAAGTGCAAAATTGCCCTAAAACCAACACTTAATTTAATTCATCAAGTTTTATATTAATTTTTATTAATTTTTATTCAGTTTAATTCATTAAGTTTTATATTCACTGAAAGACACTGCTTATAAGATCATTATTTAACACTAAAAGCTAATAAAGAAGAGATGTTAGCAATACTGATCTGAACCGGGGAACCCTTCCATAAGCAAAAAGAATGTTCTCCATCCAAACAGGTGAATCTAATGGTTAGCTGGGAAAAGGAAGCTGTTAAAGTCTGGTTATGTTTCTGCAGCATTAGGAATTTAAAACTCTGCAGAGTTCTCTATTCTGGCCTGCAGTGCAAGTAGTAAGAACACACATGGAGTACAGGAGTTCTGGTTACGAACAGTGACATCTTAAATTGCAAGGTAACTCCAAAATATTTATTGTGGAGGCCCGCCTCAAGAACAGCAGTACAGGATGCCTTGTTAGCAGATGGCAGTGCAGGTGTCTTGTTAATTAACCTCAAGGATGGCAGTACAGAATGTCTTATCAACAAATAAGGAACAAAGCAAGAAAAAGAAGAAAACTGCAACCGCATGGCTGGTGCGTGATCAAGAAGCTTATTAGATAATTTTGACATAATTCTTTAGACTATTGGCTTATTTAGTAACTGTGCTTCACATGCTTTTGCAAATAAGGAATTATATCTGGCTTAGTACAGTATATAAGTTGTATCTGATGCTTAATAAAATGTCTCTGGTTCATTATACCGAGTCCGTGCGCATCATACACTGCAATTTATTGTGATTTTTCACTCTCAAAATGAAAGACAAGCAGTACTCAAGTCTCTGTTTCATAAAGAAGTCAGAGCTAACACTACCTAGCATATCAATTAGAAGATAAAAGAAATGATTTCAGTGTCACCTCTGGCAGCCAGCACGGCAAGCACAGAACAAAGCCACCAGGGTGGAAGAGACCTACTCACCAGTGGTGGCCAATCTTTTGGATGGAGCTGCCCACCCACCCCTTCTAGAGGCAATCGAGAACTATTTGTTCCAACTCTTCCCCATCGCGTGATCAGACCTGTTACATACTTAGTCATGTCCTGTTAGGTAAGGACATGCACTTGCTGCACAAGTGACGAGCTGCAGGACTCCAGGTAAGCAGTCATTAGGAAGGAGGCCAGAATGGCTCTGGCGCCCCAGATCCAACCTTCTTGATATGAGTTAAGCTCCCCTAGACCAAAGCATTTAAGATGTGTGGAGGAGGCCAACTGCATGGTTTCTCATGCTGCATAGATTTATTTTTAGCATTAGCAATTTCTTATTCATAGGCTAAAGCAGCTCAAAAACAGCACTTCTAAATTCATGAGAATTAAGTTTTGCTAAAGACCTTTTCCCTTTTAATACTTGGCATATCTCAAAGGATTTAAATAAAGCACCAGAGAACTTACTGGTTTCTGGAGGCTTGCTGGATAATGCTGAGAAAGTGAGGTATATGATGCAGCAGCTGATGATTCCTGACTGCAGCAAACCAGAATGAGGTTGGCCTTTAGTAGAAAGGGGGCAAGAGACAATTTTTGTAGACATTTTAACAAACTGAAAGGGAAATTCAAATCTTTTAAAAACGTTACACTAAAACCTTTTGAAAGGGGAAAATATCTTTTATGTTCTATTTCAAGCAGCTCCTAAATTTTGAGGCAGTTTAGATGCATTTTGTCTGGTGGCTAAAGAGAAGAGTTTGTCCTTTAGTTCTGCTAGCTGTTTTAGAAAGGCATTAAGACTTCCATGTAAGTAAAGGATCACCTCTCTGCTCTAGCCAAAAACGTCATCTTTCCAGAAACTACTGACAGGCTGCCATGATAGCTTTATTTGCCTGTAAAATCTGTTTTGGAGCCACTGAAATTACTCCTATTTCCTGGCCCAACGATTGATAGATACTAACAGCACACAAAATATTCTGGAAAACCATGATATACAGATGAAAGATCAAAATTTCTGACTTATGTCAACTCATCTGCATGCCCAAACTTTACAGACAGTAAATCACAAGCAGTCGAAAGCAAATGTAAGAACTGAATGGGTTTGAGAGCTATTACCTCAACAGTTACCACAGTCTAAGGAATATGCAAGTTCCCCAACACATTACCAGCCCTCAGCAAGTGAGCCTTATTTACAGGCTGTCTGATGGCATGCTCAAAACATCTCACATCTCTAGTTTTAGCAGCTGGACTGATGACAAGTGATACTACTCCATAGCATAGATAAGGAGATAAGGGCAAGAACGACACCAAATCTAAACGTCAGATCTGAGCATTAGACTTTTTGCCCCAAATATGGCACATGTCTCAAAGTATGCGAACAGTAAAGGTGTCAGCAAACTCGAGAGGTAAAGAGGGTGGCACACTCACGGTCCTGGACACAGGGCGATATGGCCACCAGCGACACAAAGAGGCACAGGCCACCGTTAACCCCGAGGAGGATCTTGTATGTGCAACCCTCGGGGCGCATGTAGAAGATGGCCATGACGACCAGGGCTGCCACAGCGATCGTGTACAGGACCAGCATGACCAGAGCCAGCAAACTGTTCCAGAGCTGCTTGTGATTTGTGCCAGCTGTCCTGCGGAGACGAGGACAAGCACCTTATCTTTTCCTCCCCTCCCTTTACAGATCAAGAAAACCTCCCCAAAAAAACCCAGATGATTCCAGTGAGGAGTGCACTAATTATCAAGCACAAAGAGAGTGCATGTATCGCTGTCTAATAAGACTAATGTAAACGGTGCCGAAGTTAAATGCTGCTGCTAGAAATCTCTCACCCACAGAAAAGCATCTGGAGCAATTACCAGTAAAAATAGCTGTGGTGCGAGGAGCTCTCATCTCCTCTTCCATGGAAACATATCTTAAAAAGTCCACGAATCTGCTAAAATCTTTCTTATTAGTCAGTGTGCTAACTGGAATGAAAGAGGGTAGCAAAGGTTGTAGAGGAACAGGCTAGAGGAAACAGGAGAAAGGGCAAGAGAGAGAAGCATAAATTCATGCATATACATGGAGGAACAATTTAAGTATTTTGATGCATGATGAGAGGCTAAGAGATAAGAAGGTGATATTGAGTGTACTCACACCAGAATTTAAATCAATGCCAAAACACAATGTAAGAGGATTGATAACAGAATCTTGCATAGTCAGATGAAAGTAGGGGGGAAAAAAAGGCAACTTTCAGGTTTTAAGAAAAAAAAAGTTATTTGATGTATATTAGGCTCAATCAAAAAACAGAATTTACCACTTTATATCACTAAGCACAGTCTCACTGCTATGTTTTGCAATCCAGTTTTGTTTTCTTACACAGTTCTGTGCCTTAGCAGGTGTGTTTTCATGTAGAATTGAACTTCTAAAATGACTGGTTTTGCATACAACTACTCACTGGAAAGCAGAACAATTTAGGGCAAGAATGAAACAGCAGAGAGTAGAAACAAATAAGGAAGAAACATCTCCACCGGGAAAGGCGGAAAGTAGGTGAAGCAGAGATGCACACCTCTAAATATTGGTATTAAAGTGTCTTCTCAGAAACTGCATCCACACTATTTTGAATGCTTTATTCCAAGGGATGTCTCATTTAGGAGTTCCCCAGAATATTATGCAAATAGCTACTTGCCCAACACATACCGGTTTTTATTCCACTTGTGTGCAAATTCAACAAGCAGGATGAGCTGAATGGCAATGAAAAGGAAACCTCCCGTTGCTCCTACGTAGCGCCAAGCTGCAAGGCAGACAAGCAGAAAATAGGTCAAACCCCAGTTGCCTTCCCCTGCAAGAAAAAAGGGAATTATTATCCACGCTATGAAGCCATTACATTGTTTGAGTATTTGAGCCCCACAGATGCAGCAGATGAGATATTTCAGCTGAAAGGCCAGCTCAGCTAACCCAAGAATAGCAGCCTGATGAATTCAGCTTGCAACCTGCTACACCTTCAAAATAAACTTTTCAGGACACATACAGAGATTTCCTAATCTAAAGAATTTTTGTGGAGACAAAGTTGCTATATTCAGACATAAAACACTGGACCCTTTATTTGTGATGTGGGGAAAAAAAAAAAAAAAAAAATTCACAGAAGCCTAAACCCTAAAATTGCAAGGTACTGGAACCCAGCACTAAAAATGGCAAATTCTTTCCCTCCTGATTCCAGCACCATGGAAAAATAAAAGTGGGGCTCATGCTCTGTTCCAAGCTGCTCCCAGAGAACCAAGAATGCGTGGTATTCATTGAGTAGTTAGAGAGAGACAGGGTGTTTGACTACTTAACTATTCACTTACCTACATGCATTTGAAGAGCCGTTTGGTGCTTTAGACAACACAGACCTTGTGCACAATTTCAGAAGTCTCTGAGTAAATATAGATACCTTTGAAAAGCTTGGCTGCATATACAGTTTGCATTACTGTGTAGTATGCAACCCGTAAGTGACTCTCAGTATTCAGCAAATTTCAGTGAAGATGACTGATCGAAGTGCATTAGCAAAGTCTGGCCATATCCTAACGTTGTATTTTCCTTTCGTAAAAAGCTTGTGGAAGTGAAGGGAAGTAACAGAATTGCCAGCATGTTATGCTTAGCAAACGATGTAGATTTGTTTTTCAACTGCACCATAAGTTCATTGTTTGACTGAAAGGAGGCAAAAAATGACATTTTTCTTGTTTTGCAAAATCTATTGTATTTGCTGAGCATGCTGCTTTTAAAAGAGGCAGGAAACAGGGTGTGCACATGTGTTTGGGAGAGGCACCAGAGGAGCCAGCAGACCACCACCGGAGTGAGTAATTAAATAGCCAGCCTATCTGTAAGGATCTCACAAGCCCACAGGCAAGGTATTTCAGAATGTTTTACAAAGCCATCGTAGATGAGGTTAACATGACCAGTGCGGATTTAATATTGGAGCTCATGCAAGCCTAGGACGTGCATATAATATCCCTCCCTCCATGATTAACAAACTGCTGAACTGCTGAGTGGGGGAATGATGGCGGGGGGGGGATTCTTATTTATAGAAAAAATAAGAAGAGAGAGAGAGGAGAATGATCCCAGAATGGTTTTTGATAGGAGGAAAAAAGACACTGGAAGTTTCTTGACAGGAGGGAAAAAAACAAAACAAAACAAAACAAAAAACAACACACATCTCCCCCCCCCCACACACACACACACAAAAAAAGGAAAATAAAATCCTGCAATCTGCTGTGAATCTTACACTGGGGGGCTTTCCTGGAGAACAGTCCAGCAGCACATACAGAACATGGCTTTGCAGAAAAAAGACAAAAACAAATTAGGGGAAGGAAAACGGTTTCTCAGCTACAGTCTACCTAGTGTGGAGATACAAGAGCAGCAGCTCTCTGAGCAGCCCCAGAAGCTCTGTTCCCCCCTTCCCTAGGCACCTTAGTTCTCAAACATCTTTTGCATCAAAGGTTGCTTGGGAGCATGAAAGTGAATCTTGGTTACCTGCGAGACTGCATTAACATTACAATTTTCTAATGCAACCAGTGAATAGACATTAAAGACAAGAGCATAGGGGTAACTCAGAACTCAGTGAAGAAAAGGAATAGGGAGAAGCAGCCCTTCACCTCATGTTACTCCCTCCTCTTCCTCTTTTTAAATACTCTGAACAGTTTTAAAAGAGGGGATGGGTGTCAAAATCATACAGGTCCAGCAGGTCTTTGTAGAAGCAGGCAGCTGACAACCCAAAAAGTGGTTTGCCCTGGCTGAGGGAGCACCAAGGAGCAGCAGAGCTATCGGCCATCAGGAAAACCCATGCATAAAGAAAGGCTTCAAGTCAGGCTCCATTTGTATTGCTACTCACAGAGGAGTCAAAACAACTAAGGCAAAAATTTAACAGGCTCTAGGAAAGCAGGAAGCAGGTTTTTCTCCTCTCCTTTCAGCAGAGGGGATTATGGAAACTAGCATCCTCCAAAACAAATCCTGATGTTTCCTATTTATGACAGAAAACTTCAGCCTGAAGGTCCCTAAGACAGCAAGACTCTCCTTGCTCATGGAAGCTGCAAAGATGATCCTGACCACACTGTCCCTTCCCTCTGCTGCTGGTGCATGGCTGGAATTGCCTCAGTCAGCATCTTCCCTGCAGAAGCGACATCCCTGCTGGATTATGAAGCCTTTCATCCACCCACCCGCAGACTCCAAAGTGGACAGGTCTTACAAAGACCTGGCAACCAACTCATCTTGGTATCATCAGGACTTTTCCCGATTATGGTATTTAACATTGGTCCAGACAGGAGAACACCTTCAGAGCGCCTGGCCCGTGCTGGTGGGGCTGACGGGGGCCAGCCTGCCTTCAAAAATTGGAAATGCTTCAGGCATGGGATAATCAACAGCAGGTTTACAATACTCCACAAGAAGTCTGATTTCACATTATTAAATTTGTGTTATCTGCTTGGAAGATAGCTAAGCCCCAAGTGCACTGTGCCTCTGTGCTCAGCATCCAAGGCCATCTGCATCAGCACAGCTCTCTGCTCCTTAAAAAAACTGAGTGACAGCCCAGCACAGTATTTATTCACCCATTTGGCCTCTTGATCACAAAAAAAATGTCTTTACTTACAGAAATACAGCAATGCTTATGCTGTTCTGGCCTTCAGGATCTGTAAGCGGTACACCCTAACAGAGTAGCACACCCTAACAGAGTAAGGTCATACCATTGAGAAAAGCATCCTGGTCAGGAATGAAGAAGGCTCCTGAACACATTGCTGCCAGAAGTATAAGCTTAATAAACCAGAATCTGGACAAGGAAAAAAAAAATCTGGTTATAACAGCAATTAACAATTCAAGTGCCATAAGAAATCTCTACTTAAATCCCAACTCTTAAGTAAGTGTTGGCTGATTGCCATTTAAGTTCATTTGTGCTTGATTAAGTTATATCTGACAGAAGCAGCAAAACCAACTCCTTTCCCCCACCCCCCAGTGCTACACCTGACTGGAAAATAAGTAAAACCAGTCTAGAAAGAGGCCTGGGAACCTGGCAAGGAAACACACACTTACCTGTTGTGAATGTACGCTCTGCAGCTCTTGCTGTTGTTCACTTTGATGGTGAACAAGAAGAAGAGAAAGAAGAAAGAGGCCATCCCAAAGCAGACCTTGTACACGGTGGAGTAGCTCACCAGCTTCTCACACATGTCTCCTGCCTGAATGCCCTTGCATAGCTGCGCGTAGAAGGCGATCTAGAAAGTACAGAAGGTCACAAGCCATGAAAGTGAGCACTGGACTGCCCATAACAGAGCCTACGTTGAGTCGTTGCACCTCCACGTTGTCCCTGGTTTCCTTTGACACTAGCACCTTCTGCTGCTGCTACCCCTCAGTCTGGACATAACTGTTCAAGGGACATGAACAGTTGGTCAAAGGTATGGGAGCCCAGGTAGTGTTGTCCTCTATCCTATCAACGAGGGGAATGGATTCAAGGAGGAGAAGGCGGATATGGCAGATTAACAACTGGCTGCACTGCTGGGCTTGGCGACAGGGTTTTGGCTTCTATGACTATGGGACTCTGTTTGATGACCACCAGCTAGTGGGGAATGATGGGAACCATCTCAGCAAGAGGGGCACACGTCTCTGCCAAAAGGCTGGCCAACCTGGTTAGGAGGGCTTTAAACTAGGCAAGAAGGGGGAAGGGGAGTGTCACACACACACAGCAAACTACCACACAGCCAAGGTCAGATGGTTTCCAGTGGGAGTATGCTAGAGGGGAAGTGAGGATAGGAAATGATCACAGAGGGTCCTCTTTCACCCTTCCTGGGAAACCTGCAGGCTCGATTACTTCCTTGAAATGCCAGTACACCAATGCGCGAAGCATAGGGAATAAGCAGAACGAACTGGAGATCTGTGTGTGATCCCAGCGTCATGATCTCCTTGGAATCACAGAGATGTGGTGGGATAGCTCGCACGACTGGAGCGCTGCCATGGAAGGCTATGCGCTCTTTAGGAAGGACAGGCTGGGAAGGCGAGGTGGTGGAGTTGCTCTTTATGTGAGAGAGCAACTGGAATGCATGGAGCTCAACCTGGGGGTGGATGATGAGCAAGTTGAGAGCTTGTGGGTAAGG